TAAAAAATTACAGGCATGTGGAGATGTTTAAAATCCTAAGGTCAATTTCTTAGACAAAAAAGAAAGGAAGAAGCCAAATCAATCTTGAGTTTTTTCAGTCATTCACGCATGAAAGCATGGAAAAGCAACCCACTATCTCATTTCTCATCCGAAATGTGTGGATGATACTAAAAGTCAAAAATTATACATCCATTTCAATTTATAAATGTATTTAACTATTTTCTCTTTAATTTTTGTTTTAGTTTCTTCTTCATTTTATTTGTGGACTTCAACACTCAATTTTTGTTTAACATAATATATGCATATAATTTATATATACAAGGGCGGAATCAGGATTTAATATATATATATATATATATACTGGGGTGGAGTCGAGATTTAAATTTAGGGGGCATAGTACCAAAAAAAAAAAAAAAAGTTTAAGAAGTAAAAGAAGGAAAAAAAAAACAAATAAGAAGTATTAGGAAAAGAGAAATGAATTTTGAAAGAAACAAGTTAGAGTATGACTGAATAAGGAAAATTTGACTTTTTTTAAAAAAAAAAAGAAATTAAAGAAATTTAAAGAATAAATGAGGAAAAAAAGGAAAAGTTAAGAAAATTTTAGAAACTTGGCCCTGTTTGGGGGAGATTTCAGTTTCTAAAATTTCTTCCACTGAATCGACTTTGAAGAATGCATTTTGATGAAAAGAATTTAAAACAAAAAAAGCTGTTTGGTGGATAAATTTTTTGAAGCTCTTTTAACTATTAACATAATTTAACTCGACAATTATATCCTTAATAAACTATGAATAGTAGTAAAGGGTTGAATTGAAATGTACAAAAAGTAGAACTTTTTTTTTCCCTTGACTACATGATAAAAGTTGAAAGAGATGTAAAAAGAGAAAGGAAACAAAAGAGAAAGATGGCAGCAAAAATATTCCATTTTTATTCTTATTTAAATCAATTTAATAACGGGATGGGTAGACTTCAAAAAAGAATATATATATATATATATATATATATATATATATATATATCAGGAAGGCTCTCATGCGATCCAAAATAACGGACTTTTCAACGTACCAAAATTAAATTAGTCAATTACACTTTATTACTTCATTAGACCTAGCCATAGTTAATAATATTAACTTTAAAAATCTATTTATCATACTTAGTCAATACCTTTATTCAATCCCTCCTCCTTAATCTCTTTTATCTTTCTTGCAATTTCAACCACTACGGTCATATCACACACCATCACATCCACCATCTTCACCATTACAGACACAACACAACTACCATATTCATTCTCCAAAATCAACTTTATAATTATAATAAATATGAAGTTGATTATATATTTATCAAATTATATAAACATATAGATCATTGAGAAAATTAGGGTTTTTATTCAAGAGAAATGCTGTATAAGCATTGTCAAAGGTTAAAAAAGTCCTAAATATTGATATAATTCATATGGAAAAAAAAAAAGAAAGAAAAAAAAGAAAAAAACAACCTTACCATTGGCAAGAAATCTAGATCCAACAAAAAATAGTCAAAGGAAACCAGTTGTTTTTTTGGTCAAGGAGGGAGAGGGTTGAGAGTGAGATAGTCTTTAGGACAAAATTACGGTATTAGTTTATGTTTTGTACAGTGTCCCAAAAGCTAAAAAAAAAAAAACATAAAATCAAAACTTTATTTTTAGAGTAGTGAAATTTCTAAAGAAATTGGTAATGGGTTTTGGAAAGCTTTGGTTATTTTAAATTGTCAAAAAGCAAAACTAATGATGCAGAAGGAAGGGGTCTTCCTTATAACCCATTAATACTCCACTGAAGTTGGGATGTACAGTGGCTGTGAGCCTATGATGGTATGGATATGTCGATAGTGATTGAGATCGCAAGGAAGATGTAAGATGTAAGATGGAAGATGGAAGAGGAGGAGAGAGATTGAATAAATGTATTGACTAACTATGATAAATTAACTATTAAAATTAATATTATTAACTATGGTTAAGTCTGATAAAATAATAAAGTGTAATTTACTAATTTAATTGTGGTTTGTTTAAAAGTCCATTGTTCAATCAACATTATTTTTTTCATATTTTGGGTAGAGAACGAAGGAAAAAGATGATAAAAAAATAGAAAGATAAAAGTTTGCAATGAAATTTAGAAATGGAAATATGTTAAATAATGAACAACATAAGATTATATATATATTACTTAAAAAAGTATGTAGCTTACGAGAAATCGATTAAGAAGCATGTTTCATTAGCTTTGGTCAATCGGGCTTCTAAACCATTGAGACTTTTTTAAAGTTGATTTTTAGAAATTTTACCAAACGCTTTTTATTATTGGCAAAGGACTTTCTGAGTTTAGAAGTTTGTTTTGAGGTTACAGAAAGCCCAACCAAACAGATTACTATTCTATATATATGTAAAATTAATTTTAAAAATTCATATATATTATATAGGGCGGGGCCAAATCAGGGGCATGTGCCCCCTAGGTATATGCTGGCTGTGCCCCTGATAGTCTGACTATCCAGTCGACGTAAACATAACATAAACACTTTTCGAGAGGACACTTAATTTGATACCGAATCAAGAATTGAATCTAGATGTAATACTAATTGCAATGAATAGAATATTTCATTAACCAAAATACTATATATATAATACAGAACACTTCTCAATATGCTATAATACACTAGATAACCTATGGTGTGTATTTTTCCATGTCAAAACGTGATATCAAATTTTCTTTTTTTGAGACTTTATCTCCTACGGCGGAGTAGTATTTATTATTGTAGTACAATTGAAACCCACCACCACAAAATCGACATTATTGGTAGATGCACTAAAAATGTTATTCGATTGACCGGTGGGCAATAAAGTTTTCTTATCACTATATTGTAAAAAGATTTTGGACCCACTATATTGTCATGGTCATCTTCTTATAGAAATTTGGGCAGGGCACTTTACACCAAAGCATTAAAATTTATTTTGAAAGTGATAAAAAAATAGAAAGATAAAAGTTTGCAATGAAATTTAGAAATAGAAATATGTTAAATAATGGACAACATAAGATTATATATATATTACTTAAAAAAGTGTGTAGCTTGTGAGAAATCGATTAAGAAGCATGTTTCATTAGCTTTGGTCAATCGGGTTTCTAAATCATTGAAACTTTTTAAAAGTTGATTTTTAGAAATTTTACCAAACGCTTTTTATTATTGGCAAAGGACTTTCTGAGTTTAGAAGCTCGTTTTGAGGTTACAGAAAGCCCAACCAAACAGGTTACAATTCTATATATATGTAAAATTAATTTTAAAAATTCATATATATTATATAGGGCGAGGCCAGACCAGGGGCATGTGCCCCCTAGGTATATGCTGGCTGTGCCCCTGATAGTCTGATTATTCTGTCGACATAAACATAACATAAACACTTTTCGAGAGGACACTTAATTTGATACCGAATCAAGAATTGAATCTAGATGTAATACTAATTGCAATGAATAGAATATTTCATTAACCAAAATACTATATATATAATACGGAACACTTCTCAATATGCGATAATACACTAGATAACCTATGGTGTGTATTTTTCCATGTCAAAACGTGATATCAATTTTTCTTTTTTTTGAGACTTTATCTCCTACGGCGGAGTAGTATTTATTATTGTAGTAAAATTGAAACCCACCACCACAAAATCGACATTATTGGTAGATGCACTAAAAATGTAATTCGATTGACCGGTGGGCAATAAAGTTTTCTTATCACTATATTGTAAAAAGATTTTGGACCCACTATATTGTCATGGTCATCTTCTTATAAAAATTTTGGCAGGGCACTTTACACCAAAGCATTAAAATTTATTTTGAAAGTGATAAAAAAATAGAAAGATAAAAGTTTGTAATGAAATTTAGAAATGAAAATATATTAAATAATGGACAACATAAGATTATATATATATATTACTTAAAAAAGTGTGTAGCTTGTGAGAAATTGATTAAGAAACATGTTTCATTAACTTTGGTCAATCGGGCTTCTAAACCATTGAAACTTTTTAAAAGTCGATTTTCAGAAATTTTACCAAACGACTTTTTATTATTGGCAAAGGACTTTCTGAATTTAGAAGCTCGTTTTAAGGTTACAGAAAGCCCAACCAAACAGATTACTATTATATATATATGTAAAATTAATTTTAAAAATTCATATATATTATATAGGGCGGGGCCAGACCAGGCGCATGTGCCCCCTAGGCATATGTTGGCTGTGCCCTTGACAGTCTGACTATTCTGTTGACATAAACATAACATAAACACTTTTCGAGAGGTTACTTAATTTGATACCGAATCAAGAATTAAATCTAGATGTAATACTAATTGCAATGAATAGAATATTTCATTAACCAAAATATTATATATATAATATGGAACACTTCTCAATATGCGATAATACACTAGATACCTATGGTGTGTATTTTTCCATGTCAAAACGTGCTATCAATTTTTCTTTTTTTGAGACTTTATCTCCTACGGCGGAGTAGTATTTATTATTGTAGTACAATTGAAACCCACCACCACCAAATCGACATTATTGGTAGATGCACTAAAAATGTAATTCGATTGACCGGTGGGCAATAAAGTTTTCTTATCACTATATTGTAAAAAGATTTTGGACCCACTATATTGTCATGGTCATCTTCTTATAGAAATTTTGGCAGGGCACTTTACACCCAAGCATTAAAATTTATTTTGAAAGTGACTTTTTTAAAGGTGAAATATATAATAAAAATAAAATAAAATCACTCATTTAATTGTATTTAATATAAATAAATAAATAAATAAATATTATTATGTAAAGTAATTTACCCATTTAAGTATATTATTATAATTAAATAATATTTTTATTCGTGCATCGGAAATAATCTTGAATCCATACATACAAAAAGTGTCAAAAAGTGTCTGCGTACATAATTGTATGTTAAAAAAGACTTTCCATTTATGAAGAATAAAAAAAAATTAAGACCAACCAATTAATCGAATACTCCCAAAAAACATAGTCTAGGGTTTCAGATACTATCAGATGCTGTTTCGTCCGTGCCGTGACGAAGACGACGAAGACGACTGCGAAAAGTGGTTTGACTGAGGGTGGTGGGCGGATAACCGGTAAGTCTTGTACCGCTCTTTTTCGCTCGCTTTTTGCTCTTTTTGGCGCGTGAAATCCAAACGTCTCTTACTATGCATTTTCGACCTTCCGTTATTTAAAGGCTCTGCGTCCTCTCTCTTCTTCTTCATCATCATCATTCATTAACACCATCACCACCACCACCACCACCAAGGTCCGCGTTTTAAGGTCACCTTTCTCTCGTTCTAAATTATCTCTCTAGATTCTCTCTCTCTTCTTTCTTCCTTCTCTTCGTCGTCGGCGGCGGCGGCCAATTGCTAATGGACTCTGCAACAGTAGCCATGAGAGCTTCTTCTTCCTCCTTCTTCACCAAATCACCAAACCCTAACCCTAACCCAAATTTAATACCCTCTCGTTTGAATTTCACGTTCTTGAAGGCTCTCAAATGCGTTCAAACCCCAAATTACAAACTCAGTTCTTCTTCCAATCCGTCTCCGTCTCTGAAACCGACTTCTAAAAACCCCAGCTCTTCATTCCCGTGCTGGGCGGTGACGTCTTCTCCATCACGAACCACCGATCTCGCGGAGTGTAAGCTCCAGCGCCTTGTCGCCGAGTTCCAGTCTCTATCCGAGCCCGTCGATCGCGTGAAACGCTTGCTGCATTACGCGAGTCTTCTCCCACCGTTCGACGAATCCTTGCGAGTCATGGAGAACAGGGTTATGGGGTGTACGGCTCAGGTTTGGTTGGCCGCGAAGATGGACGGTGATGGGAAGGTGAGGTTTGCGGCGGATAGCGATTCGGAGATCACCAAGGGGTTCTGTTCGTGCTTGGTTTGGTTGCTGGATGGGGCGGCGCCGGAGGAGGTGTTGGGGTTGAAAACGGAGGACTTGGCGGCGTTGAATGTGGGGTTACATGGACGTGGTAAATCGAGGGTGAATACTTGGCATAATGTTTTGGTTAGTATGCAGAAGAGGACTAAGGCTTTGGTGGCGGAGCGAGATGGGAAGCCGCCCGGCGAGCCGTTCCCATCTTTGGTTGTCACGGCGGATGGTATACAGCCGAAAGGGAGCTATGCTGAAGCTCAGGTGAGCTTTTTTTTTTTTTTTTTTTTTTTTTTTTTTTTTTTTTTTGCTGTTAATTCTGTTTCTGAAAGTTATTTTATGCTTCTATTTGATATTGGAGCTTGATTTACTCTGGTCCTAAATTAATGTTCTTTTGAGTATAACATAAGATGCCACCAAGACAAGGTTATGATCAAACGTGGTAGTTGGGCAGTGAATTTCCCATATTAATAATGAATGATGAGCAGATAATAGATAAATATAAAAAATTTGTCCATGCCCCAGAGTTCGAGTCTTTTAGACTTTCAGAGAGAAGTAATATTGTTGAGTAAAATGAAGTGTAATTCTTGGGACATGCCATCCAAAGTTGAACTTGTTAGATTTGTCTGTGTCGTACACAAACCCAATTCACTTTGAGCTCCAATTTCGCTTTGCAACTTTAGGTACTCATTCAATGTCTAATTGCTGGTATTAGATTGTCAATTGTCTGGATGTACGGTATCAGATTTTAAACTTACTGACTAATGTCATAATTGTGAGTCTGATTTGGTATGAAGTGATACTAGGACATGATATGACACAACAGAACTGAGCTTCTTTGTTTTTTTCTCCTACTTGTCACAGAATAGCAATTGAGAAACCAATTATATTTGTTTATAGAGTGTGTTGTGACTTTTGATTATACTATTTTATGCTCACTTCTCATATTAATAGATCATCTGTATTCTATGGCTAGATCATACTTCACATCTGGTTGCAGTTATCTTAGTACTTCTGTTTTCATGTTTATTTTTTAAAATTTATTTATTTATTTTTATTAGTTGGTACTCACACACATGCCTCCACTGAGCCTCGAACCTTTTTGAGAAGTAGGGGTCTGGTACCGCTAGGCCACTGGCCTGTTGGTTATTATTATTATTTTGAATGGGAAGCACTTCATTAGATATTATTTAGGCAGAATTGACTATAACGTATTGTCTTAATTTAAGTAGGTCATGTTATAAAATGTTCGAAATGATTTAGTTCCAAGTTAAATAATAATAAGTTGTTAGATGTTGAATTAAATGAAACTTTGATACTGAGCTTTCCAGGAGGCATGAACAGAATATATTTTTATTGTCTGATTTGATTATTACTGACTGTTAAAATCCTAAAGTTTATTTGTAGTATGATTGCAGGCAAGATTTTTGTTCCCGGATGAATTAAAAGTTCAAGAACTTGCCGATGTTCTTAGGGAGAAGAAAATTGGGGTGGTTGCACATTTTTACATGGACCCTGAGGTCCAAGGCGTCTTAACAGCTGCACAGAAGCAGTGGCCTCACATCTATATATCTGACTCTTTGATTATGGCAGATATGGCTGTCAAGATGGCAAAAGCTGGATGCCAATTTATCACCGTTCTGGGTGTAGATTTTATGGCTGAAAATGTGCGTGCAATCCTTGATCAGGCTGGCTTCGCTGAGGTATTCCATCTCTTTCCCTTTCATGTCTTTTATTTCAGGATTCTGTGCATTAGAGATGCAACAACTCTGGGCCATCCTGCACCATCTTCAAGCTAACATAGTAGATAGAGTTAGTGAAAGCATATTTTCTTCAGGAATCTTTATGTCCTGTACTTGCCATGATTTACAGTCTGCGTATCCGCAAACACACTGATACTTTTGAAGTTGATGTGAAGTCCATGCAAATGAATGTGCTGCTAATATTTTGCAACTTGATTTTCCTATACATCAATCTCATATCGGAAACCAGGACACTTATGCCTTTCCCTCTCTTAGGTGATACTAGCACTTACTGGCTTAATTTCCATTTGATTTCACAGTAATCCATTAGAGAATTAGGAGGAGCTGCATTTTTTTCTTGCTGACGTTACTTATTTCATTCAAGTTGGATACATGTTCCTTGTACAAATTTTTTTAACTCATTTACTTCACCTATATTGTCACTTTGTTGTTAACACGGCTTACTTTCTAAAAGAATCTGTGGAAAATTTCCTAAGATACCCATTTTCTTGAAAAATGTTGATTCTTGTGCAACAAAATCTACTTCCTAGAAAACTAAAACATCGTTAATCGAAAATGGACAGACTAGTATGAAGTTGGTTCTCTAAGGACAGCTGTGTTTGATCTATCAGATATACCAAACTTGAATCCTTTCTGAATTAGTTGAATATGAACTTATTACACATCTGAATAATTGAGTTAGATATGATCCAATTCATTGACAGGCTCAGGTCATAGTTATATCTATCTGGATGGTTGCCCAGATTTTATTTTTTAATAAACATGATGAATGCAACGCATGAAATGAAGAAGTTTTTGCCATTTGATTGCTATCTCATTGTTGCAAGGTTAACTTCTCTTCTTTGATGTTGGGGATTTTGTTTGCGTGTTTTACTTCTAAAATGCACTTCTAGCTTAGGGCGGCTCAATCCAACCAATAATTTTTCTTATAACTAGTTGCCTTCATGGTTTATGCATGTTATACTACTTGTTCCCTGATGGATGATAAGATAATTAAATTATGAATTGGGATTATGTAGCATTTGTTTCCTGTGGAATATGGAAGAATGAACCATCTCTAACTCTCTAAGAGTATATTCAATCACTAAGAATAAGTTGGTGTTTGAATTTTCGATGGTTTAATGCTTCTACCTGAATTGTTTAAAGTATTATTATGATTGCTGTCATGGTCTGTTGTCATGGTTTGAACACTAGGTTTGTTCTGTAATATATCATAATGAATTATAAGTATGGAGATTCCAGAAGGGTTCTAACTGCAATTTCTACAACTAAGTTGATCTTAAAGGTGTTGGATTACTAAATTTATCTCCCACAAATATTAGTTACTATTACTATCATTATTGTCTTCATCACCATTATTATTATTGTTATTGTAGCTTGCCCTTATGGCCTATGCATGTAGACCATATGCTTGCTCAGTTTGTCCTAACATGGGGTGAAGATACCATTACTTTTTGCCACTTTGCTTTTTGCATGACTTACAAATGGTTAAATTATAGGAAAAATGATACTCTTCTTCACTGGAGTGTTTTTTCCCTAAGAAATATTGTGTTAAATACTAAATAGATAATTAAAAAATTAATTTGGTAAATAAGAAATTGGAAATACAGGTCAGCCTTATGTCACTTGTGTGTAGTTGCTTCATGTGTAGAAAGAATGTGTAACAATTTCCTCCCTTGGACGATTTATGCCTTTTTTCATTACAGTGTCTGTATGATAATTTAGTAGTTTTAATTTACTAGGTAAATAATTTCATTGATTGAGTTAGAATTATGGAAATGGAACACCTCCTTATGCAAGCAATGTTTAGGGATCCTTTTTTGTCAACTTATCAGCATTACAGTTACAAGGAAATTTGTAATTCTAAAATAACATTTTAGGCTATTAGTTACTAGGAGTCGTGGTTGTGAAAGCTGCTTTACAGAATTCTCCCCTCCCGTATGCATTCCACATGAGATTAGAGGGGTTTTTTTTCAATCAGTAAAAACAACATGTTATTACATATTAGTAAAGCTAGTTTCTGTGTATTTTCTTCTTATTAAGTTCTTCCTTAAAACCAAAGGTTCTGATTTGTCTTGTGGATAGGCTTCCTTTATATAAAAACTACTATGGTTTCTGAGAATCTGATGGATAGACAGTTTGTGGCCTTAGGAGGAATTTAAGGACAGAAACTATTTAACTAATGTTGGTACTGAGTGGCTTTTCTACATGAATTAGATAGGAAACTTTTCTTTTTTTGGTCAGAAAATTGATGGTAATTGTGCTATGTACAAGTAAAATGATTCATAGTTTTTTTTCTTCAACGTATCTTGATGGTGGCTATTTATCTGCAGGTTGGGGTTTACAGAATGTCCGATGAACGCATTGGTTGTTCCTTGGCTGATGCTGCAGCTAATCCTGCATATATGGATTATCTTCAGGCTGCTTCCACATCTTCACCCTCTCTACATGTTGTCTACATAAATACTTCACTAGAGACAAAAGCACATGCTCATGAACTCGTGCCAACAATAACCTGCACTTCTTCTAACGTCGTGCAAACCATTCTGCAGGTTGGTGATGCAAAATTTTCTTTCATTCACGTCGTTTGTTGCTTTAATTGCTATGTGGAATCCAGTACCCGTTTGGACATAGTGCTTTTTCTTCCCTGGTATTAATGTGAAGCACATGGCTTCTCTTCCCAGGCATATGCTCAAGTACCTAACTTAAACATATTGTATGGGCCTGATACCTACATGGGTGCGAACATAGTTGAGATGTTACAGCAGATGACTGTGATGACTGATGAAGAAATTGCTGAGATTCATCCGGAACACAACAGAAACTCGATAAGATCATTGCTAAGTCACCTGCACTATTATCAGGTAATGGCATAATATATTCTATGTGCTTTCGTTTAGTAATTTGTAATTGGAATATTTGGAAATATAAAGGTTTCTGTGTTCAGTATTCATTGAAGACTGCGGTAATGCATTTGGTTCCCACTAAGATGATTTTTGATGTTATATCTTTGCCATGGATTTAAGAGTTCTAAAAATAATAGGCATGTGGGGGAGAATCAAGGAAAGAGAAATTGTAAAACTTGGAGACGTGGGAATGATACACTGATCATGGAGTAAAGTTTCAGGAATTGTGAAGGACATGACGAGTTTTTCTCTTTTCTTTTATTTAACTTTCTCTAGTCGAAGGGACCAAACTACCGAAGTGTAGAGTACATGCAAGTATCTCCTGCTGTGCCACATGCAGGGATTTAGAACTGGTTCTAGAGGTTTTGGTTTGATCCTCTGATCCCACCTCTGGGGAGCTACTTGTGTTCATAAACAATTATTAATACATATATAAAGGCCAGATGATTAATACAACACTCATAAGCTGATTATTCTGAGTTATTATTCCACTTTGCTAATTACCATGTCTTTTGTCATTCTCTTCCCCTTAAAGATATTGTTGTATCATGTACACTCATATTTGAATCACCCAATGTTCTTATGAGGCGTAATTTTTCTGTTCTAGGATGGAACTTGCATTGTACACCACCTCTTTGGACATGAAGTTGTGGAGAAGATCAATGAAATGTATTGTGATGCGTTCTTAACCGCTCATTTTGAGGTCCCTGGAGAAATGTTCTCTCTGGCAATGGAAGCTAAAAGAAGAGGAATGGGGGTAGTTGGTTCCACCCAAAACATATTAGATTTTATTAGGCAGAGGGTACAAGAGGCTTTGGATAGAAATGTGAATGATCACCTCCAATTTGTGTTAGGAACAGAATCAGGAATGGTGACTTCAATTGTTGCAGCTGTTCGCAAATTGTTAGGTTCTGCGAACTCAACTGGAGAAGCAGAAGTGAATGTTGAGATTGTCTTTCCTGTCTCATCAGACTCCATATCAAAAACATCAAAGACTTCATCCCTTGGAGTAGGTTTGGGTCAAGCAGGAGAGTTCATGAATGTCCAAGTTATCCCTGGAGTTGCTAGCGGGGAGGGATGTTCTCTTCATGGGGGCTGTGCATCCTGTCCATACATGAAGGTCAGCATATTCTCTTTTGTTACCACATTACCTGCATCCATTTCTTTATCTTAAGGAAAGTCAATCTTTTAAGGAGTTGCTAGCTATTAATGGTTGTAGAATAACTAAATTGCATGTTGCAGTAATATTAATATCTGCAAGAAACTAAAAGTGCAACATCAGTATTTGTTAGTTAATGACTTGCCTGGTCTGGTTGGACATTGAACTGCTGCCTAAATTTTACCTGACCTAATTCTGACCAAACACGAATAATCGACAATTCTTGTGGTTTAACTCTTTAATAATTGAAAGTAGCAGCTTGTAGTTGGTGCATTTCTTTTCGTACTTTTCTCCTGTACTGCACATTCTTTTATAGTTCCATGTGTAAGAGGTGAGCTTTTTATTCTATCAGATGAATTCTCTTAGCTCGCTTCTCAAAGTTTGCCACCACCTGCCCAATGAGAAGCATAGCCTTTCGAACTATGAAGCTGGACGGTTCAGTTTGCGAACCCCAAATGGAAAACTAATTGCAGATGTTGGTTGTGAGCCAATTCTTCACATGAGACACTTTCAGGTTAGTTTCCTCAAAATATTCATTCTTCTCTATAACCAAAATATGGAGCCTTGCAGGTTATTTGATCTGGGTTCTTTGGATCGGTTTTGTAGGCAACAAAAAAACTACCCGAAAAGTTAGTCCATCAAATCCTTCATTGTGTCAATGGAAGATCAACGTCAGCTAGCTAGCGAAGCTGTAAAAAGGTGCTGCTGCTTATTGCATAGGAATCTCTGGTATACACCTTGAGAAGGCCCGGGCCTTCACCCTTCCCTTCCCTTTCAGAAAAGTTACCGTGGTGACAATTTTTGCTTATAGAAGCAATAGATTATATGTTGTAGGCACATTTCATTTTTTCTTTGTTATACTTCATTGTTCACCAAATTGTTAAAATTATAGAAATAATATTGCATTTTTATACAAATGTATAGCTACTATGAATGAATACCCCATGGAGTAACTTAAAATGTTATATAAATTATAGATTTGTATCGTTGATCTAAGAATGGTGAAAGTGGTTCTATTTGTAATATGTTGGTTATTCTTTTTAGAATGGTATGAAAGAAATTGCAAATGAAATTGATGGGTTGTGGTTGAAATTGCAAATGAAAGTGATGGGTTGTTTAAACCATGATCCAAAGGGACAATAATGGCATGATTGAAACATCGTATCGAAATACATCGACTACCACTTACTCACCGGTGAGCAGGTAAATTATGTTTCTAATTTTATTTGAAGGGTCTTCATTTAAGAAGCAAGTACTCTGTTAAGCTCTGCCTACCAGGTTTACTAGTGGATGCAAAAATCTACAAACAACTTTAATCTTTGAAATAATTTGCACTAGTCCCTTGTCAACCAATAAATGTTGCTATTAGACCACGCAATGACCCATGTAGTTAGATCTCAACAGTGCAAATTGATATTGGGTTGCCACCGAGTCAAGTGAGATACATACACATACAATACATGCACAAAAAAATGTAGAAAAAGACGATATGTGTCATAACATGCCGGCCTAATTCCTAGCACTATGCTTCTTGACAAAATCAAAATTCCTAGCACTATGCTTCATTCCTCTAATTTTGTCACTATCTCAATCTTTGTGTTCTCAGCCAAGATTGAGTCCAATAACATCCCTTTATCTCTCTCTCTCCTCTCTTTCTGTACATGAATGTGAGCTAAACTTGTTTGGTTTGTAAGAAAGTAGCGAGGAAGCAATGGAGAGAAGATTTAGCAGAACCCAAGTACCAAATGAAAGCAAAGGGCCTTTGAGTCTGCAAAAGAAGCTAGCAGAGTCACGGCGACCGAGCCAGCAAGCCGTCCCGGACCTCACTGACTTCATGAATGACATGTTCTTCGGGACATTGGACCCGGAGAAGAAATCATATAATTTGACTGGTGGTGGTGGTGGTTTTATGTGTGATGATGATGAAGGCAGCTTTGATGACAGTACAAGGAGCAATAGTAGTAAGTTGACTCAGGAGTGGCTAGACGAAGCCAAGCGCATGGTGGCTTTGTCTCCTTCCCGCGGGTGTGACTCGCCTGCTCGGGTCACTGGGTCGCCAAGGTTTGTGGCGGCTCAGCCCAGATTGTCGGTGTCGACACTTGATCGGAGGGATCCACTGTCTAGGTCTGCTAGAAGGTAATAGTGGTACTCTAATTATGCATCCATGCATGTAGCCCTGACTTTAATTGTGTGTGCATATTGTTTTCTTGTATTATAATTGAGTTGGTGAAATGCATGCAGCCCTCCTGACTCGGTGTGTATATATTGTTTTCTTGCAGTACAATTGAGTTAGTTGATTTAAATTTTCTTGTTTTACCTTTGAGGGACAATGTTTTTCAGGCTGGAAACCTTCTCCACCTTTCGAAATAGAAGATTTTCAAATAGAAAGTGTGAGTTTTATTGCCAAGATAAAACAATATTAGAAAAAAAAAAAAAAAAAAAAATTGTGTTTAAACACAAAATAAAATAAAAATGTTTTTGTAACACCCCTCAATATTGAAGGTGCAAGCTATTGGTACCGGCAACACCACCCTTATTCTGAAGGTGCAACATCTCGAAAGTGATGATGTTGCAAGTTTGAACTTGCATGGTATATTTGGCGATGTCATTAAAGCATACGAAGAAATATGAATTCATACTATTAAAGCGTGTGTTGTAAATTAATAAAATTCTGGCCGTCGAGAATAAAAGAAACTGTTTGGTTTAATTTTGATAATATAATTTTCAAAAAATTAAAAAATAAAAAATTATTTTGGGAAAATAGTTTTTGTAAAAAAAAATTTATCTTTAATTCTCTATTCTCAAAATAGTTCTTATAAAATTAAATTATTGCTGAAATTTTGAAAAATTTTAACTCGACCAAGGAATGATGGAATTCGATAGCGTATTTATAGACTCTCCTATCTTCGAACAAAATTGGGAAATTACAAACATATGCACCATATTCATTGCATGTTTGACAGGGGAGTAATTTACACTCTTTAACTGTTACCTTTCCAACTTAAAAACAGACACAGAACATTGGAAGGCTTAAGCGGAGAAATTCTATCGAAATCGGCAAAGCACAGCCGCAACAATTCTCAGGTATTCGTCGACCCATCTACTCCGGCCACCACCGCCAACATATCCCCTGCTTCGGCCGTCCAAAAGTGGTTCTCCAACATCCTCAAACCCTCCAATCCCACACCACCACCACCTCCCTCCTCCGACCCACCTAAACCCATCATCACCGATCAAAATCCACCGTCCCCAACACTCCCACCTCGCCAATCAACCCATCGCAGGTCCCGCTTCCAGAACGACCCCAATGCAGCTCAGCCACTGGGGATCCTAGTTCCAGTCCCCCAATCCAAACGAACCTTCAAAACCACAGCCGCCGCCGCGGCGCCACCCCTCTTGGACCAACAGTTGCTCTCGCCGCCCAAGATTCTCATCGAATCGGCTCACCGGAGATCGATTTCGTCATCGACGTGTTCGTTTCAGCCGAATAAACCCTTATCGCCGCCGAGGACCTCAGTCGAGTCAGCTCACCGGAAGTCCGTTTCGATTGACAAGATTTCAGTGAAGCCCAGTTCAAATGGGAAGGTATCCAATGTGGTTGATGGGTTTGGTGGTCAAGATCTTAATGGGTTTTTGAAAGAACAGAGGATCAAAATTGGGAAGATTCTGAATGGAGGGCTCAATGCGAAGGCCAAGATTGTGCTCTCGGGACCTTCAAACAGTTGAGAAATACTTATAATTCACTGTTGATTTTGATTTGAGGGACCAATAAGTGTATTCATATTGATGTCCTCTCATCATTGCCTATTGGTCATCTGTTTGATTTTTATTTTGATTGATTATTGGGTTTTTAGAGTGGTATCGAGTTTATTTAATGTTGTGGTTGCAGGTACAAGTTCAATGGCGGCGGCAATTTGCTATGCATGGCTGTTGGAGAATAGAATGAGGATGAATAAGGAGAGAGTTGAGGGTGATGGGAGTGTGGTGGTGATTCCCGTGATGAATTTGAGGAGAGGGAAAATGTGGAAGCAGCGACAGGCTGCTTGGCTTTTTCACCATGTCGGGGTTGATGCTACTGCACTGCTCTTCTCTGATGAGGTACTTGACTTGATTTTTTTTTCTTTTTCCCACTATTGTTTCAAAAAAGGAATTTGGTACATCCAATTCTGGTGTTAAAATTGCCTCTAAATTTGCTCAAGCAGAAGATTCTCAAATAAATAAATAAATGAAAAAAAAAAAAAAAAAGAGAAAAAGAAATGCAGTTGAAAGATGATAATTGATAGACCATATTAGGTGATGATGATGTCAATGTAGTTGAAATGCACATGAAAAGAGAAAATGGAAGTGAGTGTGTAAATGAAGGCTTAATAATTTCATTAATTTACTTTTTCTCTTAGCAGAAATGGTCGAATTTTATCTCTGAAAGTGGTTCTAAATCATAGTCATCACTGTCATAGTGATGCAGAGGGAGTATGACGCATATTATGGATTGGGACGCAAGTAATAGTGTCTTGAATATATATATTTTTTCTTTTGTCGTCATACAACTCTCTCAAATCTTTGGTTGATAAACATCGTTTATACCCAAAATTTGTTAAATTAGTGCTTTAGTTAGTTTTACTGATTTTTAGTCTCATATTGATGATCTAGTATGACAAACAATTTTTATTTTGGTTTTGTGGCTGCTGTCTGTTAGGAAATAGTCTTTTGTTTCTTTAGATAGTTTTTTTACATTCAAGAATTCAATATAAAAACTTACACTCTCAATTTCTCAACAAACTCTTTTTCTCACTATTTGTGGTCAGCTATTAAAATCTTATACGCGAAGGAAACAAATTGAAATTTATACATCTTGCCAGAACACTTGATCCAATCTTGAAATAAGTCTATTTAGCTTAGAATTGTAGAATCTAACTCAGTCAAGTAAATAGCATGAAATAATTGGGTAAAGTCAAGTATCATATCATGAATCTTTTCAATGCTTAGTTCATTCTTTGTTTTCTGTTTTGACTTAGCACTTGACCTTTTATGTTAAAAATAGTCAATCTAAGTTTGAAATGTCTTTTCGTAATAATTGAAAGGATAAAAATGAGAAAGCTTGAATTGGACTTAACAGTAGACCTTTAAACTTCATGTTCTGGTCACAAGTTGTCACTGATCCTTGCAACCTGTCAAGGGCCTTCATATATTGGTAATGACCCATAGCAGCTGCTACCCATGTGAACGATCATACCAACGTCTTTTTCTCAACAATGTCTTTGTCATTTGATTCAATAGTGTTCCCTTAGAAAGGCACATACTTGATAAATACTGATAACTCCCAGATAGAGTATCAGAACCAAAAGATCCATTAGATAGTACATAATTTAGTACGGTTGTTGCTCTCCAGCTCTAATATAAGTGATCTATTTGTTAACTGAAAATGGTTAGTGTTCAATTCAAAGAATTTTCTGGTTTTTCAAGTTTAATCTTTGTATTGTGTTGGTGCAAAGTCACTGAAAAGTTCTCCATATTAGATGAATTAAATGTGAAGTTACGAATAGCATTACGGTGTATTTAACTAAAATTGTTTATGGACAGCCCAATATGGAATTACTGATCTCATGTATTCAGAACTCGGACTTCTTTCATTATTTTAACTAACTGTGAACTGTTTGCTGACGTTGTTCTTGCATTATGGGATCAGGTGGATTTGGAAACACTAATGATGGCTAAGCAGTTAAGCATCCTCATCGTGGGGCAAGATATCCTCAGAACCAATGGCGAGGTTGGTTTGTATTTAAATTTAGACAGTTTGGTTTATTGAAGTATAAGAGCACTTGTTTCTATATTGACTGCATGACCACCGACGATTGATTCTACATGTTCTCTGTTTGTTGCATCTCTAGGTTGGATCTCAGTGCACTGTACTTACTGACAACTACTGTGAAGACTCCTATGACCAACTTCAAACTCCTCTCCTGAAAAAACTTCTGGTAATGGACATTAATTTTGCTCCTTTATACTTTCAGTTAATCTCATTCTGTTCTTTCCAAACAGTGACAAAAGATATTAAGAAAAAAAGGTATAATTTTCCTCCATAATTTAAAATACATTGACTGCCTGTACGTCTGGTCCTGACTATTATCCTGTTTTACAGCTTGCAGGTATTCTATTAGACACACAAAATCTAGATGCATCTGCTAAACTTTCTATGGCTAGAGATGCAGAGGCAGTACTTTTGCTAACAGTTGGCTGTATACCAAATTACCGAAATGCTCTCTATGATGAATGTATGTTTTAATGCTTCTCTTGACCATCACTGGAAAAGTTCCAAATTATTCAAGTATCAGGAAATTAAAGCATCTAAATTTTGTTTTCCTTTCAGTGATGCAAGATCAAAGAGATGCTTCCTTCATAGAAGCTTTGGAGCACAACTATGGGAAGCCTCCTAATGAAAGTAAGCCTATTGATTAAAAGGAATCATGGTTTCTCTTGTATTTTCACTGTCCGATTTGCTTGATTTTGACCTCTACGTGTCACCTGAAATTTCAATCGTTCATTTTTGGTTGGGATGTAGCATGATCAGCATCATCATTCTTGCCTTTATCCCATATGAATAGAGTCGACCACAGGAATTCCATTCTTGCCATTATCCCATTTGAATATTCCCTTTTTTAATTCTTTTCTATTATAAGCCACGAGTACTATTATATTTTATTTCTAATTACTTCGCCTTTTCTTACCGGTGCATCCATGCTGGCACGGAGCCAGCAGAGGCTCCGCGGGGTGGGGGGTACTTTTATGGATATAATTTAGTAAAATTTTGCAAAATTCCTCCCCCTAAAATTTCACCTTTCTAAAAATCCCTCTAAACTTTCCTTTCTTTTCTATTTGACTCCTCCTCTTCTTTTGAAATTTCTTTGATTCCACTCAAAAATATTTTGAATTCCCCTTCTCTAATCAAACCTTAGTTTTTTTTCCCTTCAATTATTATTTTATTTTATTTATTTATTTATTTATTTTTTCTGTATTCTTATTCTTTTTTCTCTTCTTCTTCTTTAAATTTATTACTGCAATTTTATGAACTTAATGTTCGTATTTTATATTTTCAATATATATATATTTTTTACTGGAGCTTTTTTAGCGAACAAAGACATACTATCTGAATCTTGATTACTGCAACTTTATTTTGGTTTGCTGTCTTCTTGCACTATTAGACTATTAGTTGCCATGTTAGTTGGAAAAATATTTTAGTTCATAATATTCAATTTTCCCCCTCTGAAATAATTTACTGGCTCCGTCGCTGCATCCATGGGAATGACAGTTTCTATAAGCCCACTAGGATGATTTATTTTTTTATTTTTTTTAATTTTTTTTTCTAAGTTAAGATTCCTTGATATTGATAAATTACCATCTAATGAGATGTGATACTTAAAGATTATGTAGCCAACCCAAGTGGATGGGATGAGACATGGCTGCTCAGAGATGTTGCAGTAGTTGTTAATTTTGTGTGATATACCTATTGTTAGTTTTATGCTTCATGTGAGTGTAAAAATTTTCTACAACTTTAAGTGTTGGATCTTACCTAAGCCAAGGTTTTATGATAGGAAGGCAATAATCCACTTTCTTGTACATTGGACTCATTTGTTTTTTTAAATCTCTTTGTGCAAATAAAAATATTACATTTTTGTTCCTTTTCACTTCCCATTTGATGATTATAGGTATCCATGGGAGCAAAGCACCAGTAGAGCACAGGATTTCGGAGAGGAAGTCTCCCCATGATGCCATCAGAGAAAATTCAGATAAGCATTCTAATAATGTGAAAAGTGCAAAACCTAACACCATATCACTGAAGTCAGGTAATATATCAGATCGTTACCATTTATAATTCAACAGTAGCTAACCCACTTCATAGAGAAATTTTTATCTTTGCAATCACTATTGTGCAAAGTACTACTGTTTATTTCGGTAAATTCATGCGAGCACATTATGATTTGTTTTTATCTCACATTCATTGATTGGTTAGACTAGAGATTAAGTTGGAAATTTAGTTAATTTTTATTTTTTCAAAGTCATTGTTAAAATAGATGGTCCGTGCACTTTCCAGTCCTCAGTTACTTATTTATTATATTTTTATAATTATTTTGAAATGAGCATGCAAAATGTAAAAATGCCGTTCCCAGTATTCGTATTTCTCCTGTTTAACTTATCAAAAAATAAGAAGGGTATATGCTTGTCTATCCAGTTTGAGTCTTTGGGAAACACTCTTTTTTCGCTGTCTTCATACTTTAGTTTTTCATTCTTTTTATCCTCCTTTTTTGTCAATCATGTGTTTGAGTTTTTGGCTATTGAAGACATTGTTTGTATGCGCTTCTCTTGATAAGCCAAAAATGCACTTAATCTACTTGCTTCTTGTTTCCTTTTTTCTAACTATGCTGCAAATCAAACGTTAGAAGCATGTATAGTTAATGGTTTCTTCAAAAAGGAACAGCAGTGTTATCCATTACTGAGTCTGCAGTGATACTCGTGAAGATTTAACAATTGTTACAATATGAGGCAAATAAATTTTTCCTTCAAAAAACAATAAGATTGGAGCTTTGACTCTGTAGTTTCTCTTAGAATGGGTTTATGGGTAGACTTTGTTTATCATTTGTATTACACATGCTGAGGAGCACATCTGGAGTGGACAAGTTGTTTTAGGGGTTGGATTGGTTTTTTTAGGATCTAGGCAGTAATTGCACTTATGCGGAGGAGCCATGTCCATGTCAAGCACTGACATTTCTTGGACATACCTGGAATTACATAATTGGATGCGTCCATAATTCATGATTAATTTCATAATTTCAGACATTAATAATGAAAACAGTAGATACGCCTACGCCTTGGCCCAAAGCCTAGGGGTTTTAGGACTTTGCAAACCACGCTCCATAAATATGCTGTTGGCAGAGAAAAAGAGTCCTCGATTGTCACAATTTCAGGGGATGTCATCTGTCAAGTCACAAGGATGAAATATAGGGCATCCTGAGTGTGCCTTAAGTCAGAGTCCAAAATCCACATAAGCTGCCATTTCAGTGCCATATGGCGAGGTGAAAATGTGCCACGTGTAGTAAGGGAGTGATATACTTACTATAAGGAGGAGAAAAGGAGGAATCATGTAGATACATATTCAAACACCAATGCATAGAAAATTCCTAAAGATATTCATTCATACTAATAGTACCAAATATGATTTAAGAACTAGGATGTATCACCTTCTTTTTCTTTCATCTTGTTCTTTATCCGAAACTTATGCTTTGAATTTTTTGAGTTAATCCGGAAGCAAGCATGTGATAAAACCCTAGGATTGAGGTAAGATTCCTTTATTCTTTACGTTCACAAATCAAGATCTCAATCTACTGATTGAGCTTCTTGTCAAGAAGGCAACCTCTTGGTACCATTACTCTTTAAAATAATTGCTGCATCCCGTTTGTGCAAAAAATCTTAGGGGGCATTTGAACGTGGTGACAATGACATCTAAAAGCAGTAAATGACTAATTATCTCATTTCAGATTTCTTTTCCTATGGAATTGAATGTGTAGGCAAAAAATGTAGTGACTTCAACAAGATGCATCTTGTTAGCCTCCAGAATGATCCTCTTCAGGATTGGAGTTTGATCTAGGAACTTACCAGTTAATGCATATTATCATAAACAAAAGTTGAAGTCAAAATTTCAATAATATTTTAAGTTAACCAAAAATATATATATATATGTGAAAGTTTTAATGTGATGAAAGGGAGAGAGGAGAAACCAGATGGAGCAGAGCAAAAATGGTGGAGGCGCAACTCTGTATTTTCCATATATCAACCCTAAAACATAAAAGGGTATATATACTATACAAGAAAGGCCTATTTACATAATGGCCACAAACCCTATATCTAATTACAATTGGACCCCAACATAAATGCATATATACATATAATTGTTCTAACACTCTCCCTCAAGCTGGAGAATATATATCGTATAATCCCAGCTTGGAACAAATTGTTTTTAATCGATTTTGACCAAGAGCCTTAGTAAACATATCAGCTAATTGATCTTCAGACTTCACAAATGGAGTAGAAATGTTCCCACTCAATATTTTCTCTCGAGTGAAGTGACAATCAACTTCAATATGTTTGGTTCTTTCATGAAATACCGGATTGGATGCAATGTGAATTGCTGCTTGGTTATCACAGAACAATGGAATAGGAGTCTTGATTATTAACCCAAGTTCCTCGAGAAAATGTTGTATCCATGTTAACTTACTAGAAGTATGAGCCATCGCCCTGTACTTTGCTTCAGCAGTAGACCGTGCTACCACTGTTTGCTTTTTACTTTTCCATGTAACAAGATTTCCACCAACAAATGTGCAGTAGCCTGTAGTAGATCTCTTATCTGAGGGAGAACCAGCCCAATCAGCATCTGTGAAATCTTCCACCCTAAGATGTCCATTTGGTTTATATAGCAATCCAAAACCTGGAGCTTGCTTAAGGTATCGGATAATCTAAAGAACTACATTCCAATGCGGCATCATAGGAGATCCCATGAACTGACTTACGACACTAACTGCATATGAGATATCCATCGAGTGATAGTGAAATAATTTAATTTCCCAACAAGTCGTCGATATCTGCCAGGATCATCAAATAGATCACCCTCATCTGACAAGAGTTTTGTATTTGGATCCATAGGTTCATCAACAGGACGTCCACCCAACATACCTGTTTCTTCTAATACATCCAATACATATTTTCTTTGAGATAAACTTATACCTTCCTTGGATCTAGCAACTTCAATACCCAAGAAATATCTGAGTTGACCCAAGTCTTTAGTGTGGAACTGATTTTGTAGAAACAACTTCAATTTAACAATACTTTCAAAATCATCACCTGTGATCACAATGTCATCTACATATACCACAAGGAAAATGAAACCAGCTTTAGTGTGCTGGTGAAACACCGAATGGTCTGTCTGACATCTCTCAAGACCAAATGCTAATGCTGCCGAAGAGAACTTTCCAAACCAAGCCCTTGGAGATTGCTTCAATCCATACAGGGCCTTCCTAAGGCGACAAACGGTATGACGATACTCCCCCTGAGCAACAAACCCAGGTGGTTGCTCCATATAAACTTCTTCAACTAAGTCGCCATGTAAGAAAGCATTTTTCACATCTAGTTGAAACAACGGCCAGTTACGATTGGCAGCAATGCAAATAAGGATTCGTATAGAAGAAATCTTTGCAACTGGGGAAAAAGTCTCATCATAATCAACACCATAAGTCTGGGTGTACCCTTTTACAACAAGACGAGCTTTCAAACGCTTAATAGAACCATCGTGGAGATATTTGACAGTGTAGACCCACTTACAACCAACCGGTTTGGAACCAGGAGGTAAGGGAACAAGATCCCATGTCCCATTATGATGAAGAGCATCCATTTCATCGATCATGGCTTGTCGCCAACCGGGATGAGAAAGAGCATCCTGCAAAGTCTTGTGAACAAGTATAGCAGACAGTTGGGATAAAAAACAAGATAAAGTGGGTGAAACATGATTATATGAGACAAAGTTAGAAATAGGATGTGCAGTAACACAAGATCGAATACCTTTGCGTAAGGCAATAGGAAGATCATCAACAGTAACATGAGCCTCAATAGAAGTAGACAATTGGGGGGCTGCTACTTGTGGTCGTCTACTATACACTTGAAGTGGCGGTGACACTGGAAATGGTGGTGGTGTGACAGACTCTAATGAAGTAAACACAATTGGTAACGGAAGCAACAAATCAGTATTTAAAGATGAACCATAGGCAGAGAAGTAAGGAGTGTCCTCAAAAAAGGTAACATCCATACAGACAAAAGCACGACGAGTGTTAGGGTCCCAACATTTATAACCTTTTGGAGTCCGAGAGTACCCAAGAAAGACGCATTTAATGGCACGAGGAGACAATTTATCATTACCAGGATGTAATATGTGAGCAAAGCGCACACACCCAAAAACACGAGTAAATGCAAATAACGTTCGAGTAGGAAAAACAAAAGAATAAGGGCATTTCCAATTAAGAACAGAAGATGGCATACGATTAATTAAATAGCAAGCAGTTAAAACAGCATCGCCCCAAAATGGCTTTGGAAGATGCATATGGATCATTAAAGTCCGAGCTATTTCAATTAAATGCCTATTTTTCCGTTCTGCTACGCCATTTTGTTGAGGAGTATAAGAGCAAGAAGTTTGGTGCAAAATACCACGAGACTCACAAAATGTGGAAATAGCACCTTTGACATATTCCATAGCATTATCAGATTGTAAAATTTTTATAACACAGCTAAATTGGACCTCAATTTCTTTAAGAAATAATTGAAATATGGAAAAAAGTTCAGACCGGTCTTTTATTAAAAGTAGCCAAGTCATCCTTGAATAGTCGTCAACAAAGATAACAAAATATGAAAAACCTGAATTACTCACATGACGCGCAGGATCCCAAATGTCAGTATGTACCAATTTAGCGATTAGCAATACGTGGAGGAAAAGACACTCTATGGTGCTTACCCAATTGACATGACTCACAGTCTAAAGAAGACACCGACTTAAGAAAAGGCTGAGTGCTTGAGTCAATTGACTCACAAATAATAAATTAAAAGGAAATTGTGGAACCAATTGAACAGAAGATAACGAGAGGGAAGTAGTAAGTTTAACAGTGCCCTTACCAATAATGGGACATGTTCTACCATCTGCCAAAGTAACAAAAGATGAGAAGCTAAACTTGTGAAAATTAGAAAGTATAGACTCATTACCCGTTAGATGGATAGAGGCCCAAGAGTCAAGAACCCAAGGGGAGGATGAACTCTGGGCATCTGAAAAACATTTAATATGACCTGACTGGGCAAAGGTAGCAAAAGCAGAAGAGTCTGACATGATGAATCGAGAAAAGAAAAAAAAAAAACACTTACTGTCCCGAGAGAAACCGAAGAGAAACAAGCAAAAAAAAACTTCAGTACCAAAGAAAGCAGAACAGCACAGACCCGGATCTCAAATAGGGCGGATCTCAAACGGGCCGGATCCATAAAATGAGGTTGAACCAGAATCAGATCTCTGCAAACCTGGTTTTAGTAAACCAAGGTTGGGATAGCTTCACACCTGTAGCCAAACACGTCTACAAATCCGGTTTGTGTAAACCTGGATCAGGAAAGCATATCCTTGTTTGGGATAGCTCCACACTTGCAACCAAACACGTCTATTCTTCTCCGCGGTCAGCGCCGACGAGAACAGAAATCTGCTACCGACAATAAATTCAAGCAACCGGGGTTCGTAATAGAGAATCGAGGCTAGTACACGTAGCGGCAACGGGCAACACAACTCTAGCTTCAGATCTGAGGACTACGGACCAGAGCTTCGGCGAAGAACAGATTCAACCGTCGGCGAAGAACAGATCTACACCTCTGCAACTGGTCGTGTAAGAACAGAAGATGGAAAAAAAACTAGAAGGAACTCAATCTCTCGATGATCACGAAGCCAACACACAGGCACAACAATGACACCCTCTTCGCGCAAACAGTGACGAACAATTCAAGGTTGAGATCGGTGCTCTGATACCATGTGAAAGTTTTAATGTGTGATGAAAGGGAGAGAGGAGAAAGCAGATGGAGCAGAGCAAAAATGGTGGAGGCACAGCTCTGTATTTTCCATATATCAACCCTAAAACATAAAAGGGTATATATACAATACAAGAAAGGCCTATTTACATAATGGCCACAAACCCTATATCTAATTACAATTGAACCCCAACATAAATACATATATACATATAACTGTTCTAACAATACACACACACACACACATATATAGTAAAGTTGAAGTGGAAATCATTCTTCTGGAGTTTATTTTGAGAAACTTCATAGTTTCTACCTTCTCCAAGTGTATCTGCAACCTGAGATCTTCCTCACCCCAAATAAAAAAACAAATATGCATCGTTTATTTGGAAAACCATTTAGCTGATTCTAACAAATAAAATTCAATTTTGTTCTTGCAGCTAAAGATAAACCAGTTCCCGCACAAGCACCTGCAGCACCACCACCAAAAACAACTGATGCTTCTCGTGGGAAAAACAAGTTCTCATTGGCAAAGTGGTTTGGCTTCGGAAAATGATCAAAAAGGAATTTTTGCATACTATTGAGTGTATCAGTAGATGTGGCTGATGTTTTAGGAAAGATGTTTTAGGAAAGAAACAGTCATGGTTTGCAATCCTATTCTATTATTATTTTTCTCTCAAATAATAATGCTGAGAGTAGAATTAGCCACCATAGTTGACATAAACTTATGTATGTGTATGGCTTTGTTGATCTTGTTTCTATTCTATTAAACGAAGTCCCATCCGTTGCAAAACGGAAAGAGTATCAGAATTGTTTCTATGGTAGGATTTCTCAGTTTTTCTACCCGCAGAAACCAGCTCCACCATGTGTGTGTTTGTGTGAGAGGGATTCCCCAGAAATGATATGGTTAATTTTTGTGTATAATGCTAGTTGGTGAAAGTTCTGAGAGCACAATTTTAATTTGTACAACTCCATTTGAAAAGTTGGATTTCATGCCTTCAGATATATATATATATATATATATATATATTTTATTTATTTATCTATTTATTTATTTTATTTTATTTTTGAAAAGCCTTCTTTGATTGGCAACCATTACAAGGTGGTAGACAATATTTCTTCAACTTGAATATGCCTAGGCCTCCATTGCCTTGAAAAGTGATCCGGTAAAATTGGCTTACTCAATTTGAGAGTATGACTATTATTATATACAAGTGAAAAATTACAAATATAGAAAGAGAATAAAAATCAAATCGACAATAAAAATCAAATTCCTAAACAAAAGGCTAAACATAAGCCTATAATGAAGACCCAATAACTCTGCTACAATCATCGAGTCAATCTATAAATATGATTTCCAACACTCTCCCACAAGCTGGAGCAAATATGTTGACTAAACCCAGCTTGACTATTGAAGACTGAAAAAGAGAAGGCCCAACAGACTTTGTGAACACATCTGCAATCAGTTCTGAAGAGGGAACAAAAATAGAATTAATGATACCTGATCTAACCTTCTCTCGAATGAAGTGAATATCTACCTCAATATGTTTCGACCTTTCATGTAACACAAAATTAGAAGCAAGCATAATGGTTGATTTATTGTCACAAAATAACCTTGAAGAACCTTTCTCTACAAGACCCAACTCTCCCAAAATTGATTGAAGTCAAAGGAGCTCACAAGTACCTTGAGCTATAGCTTGGTACTCAGCTTCAGCAGAAGATTTGGAGACAACAACTTGCTTCTTACTCTTCCATGATATGAGATGATTACCATAGAAAGTACAGAAGCCAGAGGTAGATCGTCTATCTGTCTTACATCCAACATAGTCTACATCAGTAAAGCATGAGAGTCTGGACTGATTTCTTGAGGCATAGAACAGACCAAGGCAAGGGCATGACTTAAGATACCTCAAAATATGGTAGACTGAATCCATATCACCCTAGTGTGGTTGAGCTACCTGGGCCCAAATGACGCTGTGGAGGTACTAAGGGTCAGGGACAGTAGCTAATCCTTCTCTCGTGTCGCTGTGGAGTCACCAACGGACGAGTTATATTAATAGTTTGAAAAATGATGGATTTGGATTTTGAAAATGGGGAGCGACATACATGGCATTGCATTTCATGGCAAGAATTTGTTTCATTATGACTTGAGCTTGTGTTGTAATTTTTTACCGGTATAGTATGACCTCGTTGCTTTATTTCCATTCATTGTTTGGATTCACGAGATTACAAGAGGTGTGTCTTAGGCACCATTTACTGAGCAAAATTTGCTCACCCCTTATATTTAACATTTTTCAGGTCATGAAAAGAAGGTGGCGGATGATAGTCCACCACAAGCTTGATGGGGTGCTTGAAGATTATTTTTGTTATCTTTTGTATCTTGAGCCATCTTTTGTAAAAGTTTCATTTTGGAATGTATTTAAGCTAGCAATCATGGCCTTGTGCCTCAACTATGTGCCTTAGCACCATTATGATGTAAATTGAATTAAATGTGAAAACTATGTATGCTCTTTCATTTGAAAAGTATTATGACGATGTTGTATCATCCTATAATGTAGATGACCATGATCATATCAAGTAAGTCTGCCATTTGAGGTATTTTTAGAACAAGTTTGAAGCAAATAGCAAAGTCCCCATAAGCCTCCATTCATTTTCAAGTTTTACTGCATTCTAGTAGCAATTTTAGAGTTCGCAGAGCCATTTCGGCCTGCCAAAATACCTGCTTCGGCCGTCTGAACCTTGCAGAGACTCCAGTCACTGTTGGATGCACAACCGGCTGACTGAAACTGCCACTTTGGTCTACCGGTACAAGAAGGTTGTTTCGGCCGACCGAAACACCACTTCGGTTGACGGAAATGCACCTGTCTTGTCCACCTTGTTTCTTTCTCCGAAACTATCCACCTAAAGCCTTCAGAAGTTGTATAGAACTTTTGTGAAGCCTAATTATGACCTAAGAATGATGTTTTGATATTGGAAATGACGGGAATGACCTAGGTAACCTTAGGTTCGGGTAAGGACCCGGTTAACGGTTCGGACCCACGGGTTTGGGTCGCTACACTATCATTATATACAAGTGAAAAATTACAAATATGGAAAGAGAATAAAAATCAAATCAAGAATAAAAATCAAATCCTTAAACAAAAGCCTAAACATAAACCTATAATAAAGACCTAATAAATCTGTCACAATCATCGAGTCAATCTATAGATATGATTTTCAACACCTTGTTATATTCTTGAAAATTCCAAGTTCCATCAATTTCATCATGCTCTTCTCTTTTTTGTACTCTAATTTTCCTCTCAGTATACATCTATATAAGGAAATTTTTAATTTTCACTTCCCTAAGAATGATAATTATCAGTATGATTATAATAATAACATTGTAGGTCTATGACAAAATTCAATTCTGGCATAACTCACCTATCATAATCTGCTGACTAAGGTGATTTATACTCTTCTGACTTAGGGTTAATTAGACTTTTCTGATTTGGGTATCTAATGATATTTTAACTTAAAAAGCTTTTTCAGCTGTCATCAGTAATTCTGTCAAGTAAGTGATGATAATTGTTTTTAATGAAATGAAACATGTTTTATTATTTTTTTGACTATTTTTATTCAATTATATAACTTTGAAGGATTGAAAATGGTGTGATGTATTCAGTTGAACACTTGGCTTAACAATCACTTTGCAGTCTTACCCTTATTTTCTTATAATCTCCAAATGAAATGATGTGATCTTGAAACTAGGAGACTATAAGGAAGTAAAAAGGTAAACAAAGACTTTATATTATGTTTATATAGTGTACATACACAAGCTCCTTTCAGTTACTATTCCCACCATCATCAAGGCTCCCTATTGCCAGATACAGACATTCAGTGAACTATGAAAATGGTCAAAACATTTTCAATATATAATATGGAGAAAACATACCTAGACAAATGCTCACTTATCAAGATCAGATCAAGAGAGAGAGAAAGTGAGAGAGAGAGAGAGGGTGCCTCTAGATGGGGAATTATTGGGCATGTATGGGATCCAATATGTGGTGTCCAATTATCCCACTTGCTCAAAACCAGCTGTAACTGACTTCCTTCCAATCCAACCTCTCCCTCCTGAGCCCCCACCAACACCCATGTGATTGTTTGTTTACTTTATCTCCTAACCCAATCTTCATCCTCACCACACTCCAAATTGGCCCATGACATGTGTCTCATTCCCTTGTCCAACTATTCATTGCCTTTGATGATGCTATATCCAAATTATCCACTACTGACCTGATTGATCCTTTCATTATTCAACCTTCCAAGCATACAAAAACAGGCAAAACTCAGATGACCCACCTGCATTAAACCCCTCTACTGAACCAGAACTCCCTGTCTGAGATGACAATGGCGTTGATGACAACGACGACAACGGCGGCGATGATGATGCTGTTGATGTTGATATGGATGATGATTGAGCTGTGAATAAAACAGTTGGCTTAAAAATAAACAAGGCATGCCTCAAACCAGGACTAAACAGCCAGTCATGGACATCCCAGTACACTTCCACTCTTGTCTTGTTGACAAGAATGGACTCATTACCTCTGAATTTCCATTGAAGGTGTTTGACATGAATCACCAAATGCCCATCAATCCTTATCTCCATTTCTGGATCAACTGATTCAATCCCACCACTGTTGTTGTTACTTCTGTTCTTGCACTCAATTGAGATCTCATGAAATCTACCTTGCTCATCAAATTTAACCTTGGTGAAAAACCTCTTCTTACCAAACAAGTGTTCCCTTTTCGACACCAATACCGGATCGATAAGAGCTGGTCTGCACCCTGTCTTCCTATAAGCATCCTTCTTCAGATCACCTAGGAGTAGCACAACCTCCTCATCACAAACCACTGCAACATAGTAGTCTGTGCTAGGTTCCGTTTCGCCACTGAATTTTGCAGCCTTGAGGTCCCAGAAGATGTCAATAGGCTTACCATCCACAACAAAGCTCTTGGAGCCTTGTTTCCTCCAAAAGTACCATGGCTTCAGCTCCACCTTGCAAGTATGCTGACCGTCGCCTTCCAGACCTTCTACGGACACAGATAAGCCGTGGAGCAACAAATTCTTACACCATGTAACAGTGATGAGGCGAGACTGATCAGCAAATTTGATCCGGTACACGGACATGAACACGCTTTGGCCTGACCTGGTCACAGCAGCAGGGTCATCAGTCAGCTTCTCACTGGAAGAGAAGCAGGCAGGAATGCCAATGGGGTCTTGCATGATCATAAAATGCAAACAATTAAGGGGTCAAAAACCCTATTCAGAGAAAGTACAAGTAGGCAAGGATTTGAGTGTGTTGAATTGATTGGAGTGAATATAAGATGGCGAAAGATCTTACTCATGAAATGCTGTTATGAGGAGTCATAGATAGATGCTGCCAGAGAGGGGTGTGTTATTGGCAGCATTTAAGAGAACAGAGAAAATAAATACTTTCCAAACTGGCAAATGGATGGCAAATGAATGAGAGTGAGTAGGAACTGGCCTTTTTATATTCACTTATCTAAAACTGTGTGCTTGGCTTATCTTACCTGGCATTCTATTTTTATTATTCTTAACAAGAAGACAACTTTTTTGAATCCAAGGTAGGTTTGATTCTGTTGTTATTAAAATATACTTATTCCAATGCATGGTAAAAAGTAGATTAGCCCCTTGGCCCCCTTCTTTACCAGATTTGGAGTAAGAGAGACCTTGGAAGCATGACAGCACATGACATGAAATGGGGATTAAAGATGACCAGTCAAAATCATAATTACAATGATTAAGGGTTAGTTCTTGAAAGAGGGTCTTCGTGGTTTTTCATTTTCTTATTTTTATTGTTTTCTTTATTAATTTTTTTATTTATATACTTTTGAATGCAATAATAGTTTGTTAGGATGTAACT